TTGGCCTCACATGGGAGAAAGTGCAGTTTCCAGCCCAGGGGGCTGTTCCCATCCACCCCTCATCTCCCTCTGGGGACCAGGGCTTGGTGGGCAGCCTGGCAGACCCCCTGCCTGCATTCCCAATCCCTGCAGCCCATGCAACTGGATTGAGAGGCACCCTCCTCCTCCAGCTTGGCTGCCCTTCCAGCTCCCGAGGCACACGGGTGTCCCTCCTTTGAGGGTTGCCCAAAGTGAATAGAAAATGTCACAATTCCCACACCCTCAGGGAGGAGGAAAGAGGAAGACAATGCAGGAAGGTAATAAAGACACATGCTGAAGCAGAGATGAAACAGTTCATTTCCCCCAGGAATGTTGTGCTTAGAAAGTGCCAGAAATCAGAGAGAATGGGCTCCAAGCCCCATGACCTCAGGGCCTATAACTGCGCCTCCCGGGGCCTTGGACACCTAATAAATATGTGGGGCAATGATGCGGCCCTCAGAGTTCACGGGGCTGGAGTGAGGCTCAATGGCTTCGTTTTTCCTTCCTTCATTCATAAGCAGTTGAGTGGGCACAGCCGCCGGGCACAGCTCCAGATGGGAGCGAGATCCACACATGGCAACGTGCCGGCCAAATAGGAGGTGCATTGTGTCTGAGAGCGTAGACTCCACACAGAAAACCCCCGAGACTGCACCCCTCACACCTACATGGGCTCAGGCTCCCTGCAGGCCTGGCAGCTGCGATTGTCACCTTCGTGTCTCTGGCATGGGGTTGAGCGGCGGGGCTGGGGGAAAGCCCCCCCTTGACAAGCTGCCTGCTCAGTGCCCCTCACTGGGAAGAGAAAGGGAATCCAGTTCTTGCTCTCTATTGAGTCATGGGGCAAGAAACCAAACTGAAATTCTTCAAAGAGTTGAAAACACTTCTCAAATAAGCGGTGAAAGGACAGTGAAGGCCACCTCTGTGCTCCTCAGAAGCCACTGGCACAAGGCATTTTAAGTGGAAAGAGGAACAGGGGGCCATGCACGCGCCCTGCACACACCCAGCTCAAGTGCTGGGGGAGGTGGGAACCAGCACCCAAGGTCAGGTGACGAGTGCAGAGTGGGTGCAGGCCCCCTCCAGGACAGTCCCTTCCCTGTCAACAGGCCCAGCACCCCCATGATAACCCACCTGAGAGGATTCTGTACACCATGACATAGCACTGAGAACCAGGCCTGTGGCTGTGAAGCCGTCCACACGGGCGCAGCTCAGTGGTAGAGCACTTACCAGGTGTGCAAGGCCCAGGGTTCCATCCCCCAGAGTGAGGCGGGTGGGAAGAATCCTAAGTAAATTCTAAGTATTTGGATTGTTTGGTTAAATTATCTAGTTGCACAGGATTAATTCTTTAAAATCGTCGTTTGTCTTATCTTTGCAGAAGAAAAAAAAAAAAAAGTCAAATTTCTGCACACCATATACCATGGGTCAGAGGAAAGGCAGACAATCAGGGGAAATGGGTTCTGCCCTGGGTGAACTCACAGGCTCCACACTGGGGCCAGGAGCGGCCCACTCTTCCCAAGCCTGTCTCCTATGGCCCAGGGGGACCTTCTCTGCCATCAAATCCTGAGTTGGCCCTAGCCCAGGTGGAAGTTCCTACTATGGTTCTGGGTGTGAAATCTGGGTGTGAGTGTGTAGACGGGGCTAGTGTTTGTTCCGGAACCCCTTTCATATCACTGCAAACACCCCAGGTGTTCAGGAACACCGACCTGTGGAGAACCCAGAAGGCAGAAAGGAAGGAGGGTTGGGTCCTTCCTCAATGGGCAAACAGCTCCAGACATTCTGACATCTGTCTAAACATCCTCTAAATGAACCATTTCGGTGAGATGACTTGGACAGAAATAGGGACCAGGGGCTCTCAGATGCAGGATCCTCATGATATACTTTAACATTGGGATTCGTTTCCATAATGTTGGCTACTCAAATTTTTTGACCCTGGTGAAATTCACAATGTATTGAATACAAAATAAAGGAGATTTGAAACTAGCACAAATATAATCTTGTTTTTTTCCCCAGAATGTTCTTGACTCACCCTAAAACTGTGTCATATAATTTGCAATACAAACACACCAGTCAGTCCAATTGAACACATTCTTTGTGTTTCCCACAATGACTCAGTTTATAAAAAGTTAGCAGTCAGTTAGGACCTAGCAATTCCACTCCTATAGACCCAGAAGAATCCAAAACAGGGACTCAGATATTTGCACACCCCTGTTCATAGCTGCATAATTCACAAAAGATGAACACAACCCAGGATCAAACAGATAAGCAGATGATCAAAATGTGGTCATTATCTGGGCACAGCGGTAATCCCAGCTACTCCAGAGGACAAGGCAGGAGGATCCCAAGTTCAAGGCCAGCCTGGGCAACTTAGCAAGACTCTGTCTCAAAATAAAAATAAAGTAGCCTGGGATGTAGCTCAGTGGTAGAACATGTATGGCATGTATGAGCTCCTGGGTTTAATCCCCAGTACTGTGAAAAATGATAATAAATGTGGTCTATCACACAACAGAGCATTTTGTTATTTGGCTTCAAGAAGGAAAGACATTCTGACGTGTGCTACAACACAATGAACTTTGAGGATATGATGGAAAGTGAAATCAGTCAGTCACAAAAGGACAAAAGCTGTAGGAGTCCACCTCTCTGAAGTCCCTGGAGTTGTCCAATCCCTATAGACAGGAAGGAGATGGTGGGAGCCAAGACCTGGGGGTGGGGGCCGGGGAAGGCAGTGTTGACCAGGGACGGTCATTAGGCTGGGAATATGAGTCTGTGGGCAGCACAAGTGAATGTGCTTAAAAATAGTTGAAATGATGGATTTTATGTGATGTGAATTTTATCAAATGAAAACAATTGTAAGAAAAGAGCCGATGGTCCCTGCCACACTTTCCAGGGCCACTTGCTTTTGCCTCTCCCACACGGGAGGGTAGAGTGGCAGGCCTGAGGGGTCCTCCTATGCACAGTGGACCTGCTGGCACCCCAGAACACAGGGCGCAGTGAACGAGGTAGCTCTGGATCCTCCTGCCCTGTTCCTAACCGACACAGAGAGGAAAAGGTGCTGCCCTTCTCGCAGGCTCTGTGCTCCCGTCCCCAGGGTTTGCAGGCTGGTGACCTCAGGCTGCACCTTTGCCCATTGGTCAGCTCCGCTGGGTCCAGCCCCCTCTCTGTGGGCAGCTGTAGTGGCCTCTTGACCTGCCTCCCTGCCTCTCAGGCCCCCCTCTGCCTTCACTCCCCTTACCCACATAGCACTGGCCTTCCCAAAGCACCCAACTTCCTCTGTCCAAAACCTCAATATTTGTGGCAGCCGTCTACCAATGAAACCTCGGCTCCTGGCCTGACGGTCAAGAAGCAGACGTCACACTGGACCACCTGTCCCCTAGAGCACCTGTGACCCCATCCCATCCTGGCAGGGTGGTGGCCATGTGACAGGCCCTGGGGTCAAAACTGGACCCACATCCTGTTTCTTTTTTCTTTTCTTTTTGTGGCACAAAGGATTGAACCTGGGGGCTCTTTACTTCTGAGCCTTGCCCAGTTGCTGGGCTGGCCTCAAACTTGTGATCTTCCTGCCTTAGCCTCCTGTGTCACTGGGGTTACAGGTGTGCACCACCCACCGTGGCTGGCTCCACCTCTTTCCTCCCTAGAGAAATATGCCAAGGATATGCGGGTGTCAGAGCAGAGATGAGGCAATGTGTGGTCCACACTTCACTGTAGAGCTTGCGCCACCCTCTCTATTCCCCTGATAAGCCCCACATTTCCTGATGCTCTGCGCTCCACCTCAAGAGTCAAAACCTCACTCTCTGACAGGCCTGGCCCAAGTGCACCTTCTGCAGGAAGCCTTGTGCTCCTCTGTGCACTGTCCCCAAAGGGGATCAACTTTTGGCCTGGCAGCAGAAGATTCCCACCTCACCACAAGGCTTGAAGGCACAGTTAGTGGCAGACTCGTCCATAGGCATGGTGCCCTGCTTACCAGGCACCAGAGACAACTCTGTGTGAGCAGGGTACCCAGCAGGTGCCAACATGGGGCTACTCAGAAGTTGCCTAGCACTGGACTCCTCGCCACATCTGCTGCCAACTGTTTAAAAAGAAAAGATGCTTCTAAAGGAAGCTGGGTGACACTGTGGAGGCAGAGCCGAGGGCACCCAGCAGCCACAACCTCCAAGGATCCCGTCCCTCTGGGCCTAGGCAGATGCGGATGGTGTCCCACTGAGCAGTGCCAGCTCTCCAGGGACTGGGAGGCAATGACCAATCCACAGATGGAAGGAAGAGACCAATGTGCTGCTGCAGCACAAACCCAGATGCCTGCGCTGTGGGTCACAAGCTGAAACTGCCCAGGAGCGTGAGCCGGATGCTGAACAGGCCTCCTCGTGCAGCTCTCTGGGTCCCTCAGAGTCAGGCACGTCCCTGAGGGTGAAGAGCACTGGAGCTAAGGCTCCCAGGCTGTAAGACGGTGGCACCTGAGCTCTCCTCAGTATTACCGGACACCAAGAAAACATGTCCCAGGGACAACCTCCAGTGCACACCATCCCTGCTGGCTGCAAACCCTAACAGCCACGACTGGACTTGGGTTAAAGGGAGGGCTGCAGTGAGAAGGGCTTTCCTCTGTGACTCTGACGCCAAGACAGTTTACCCATGACCCGATCTCAACAGAAAGTCTGAAAGATCTGGCTGCTCAAACACATCACTTAGTAAAAGGCTTTCACCCTGGACGGACTTGTCTGCTGCCCTTCTACAAAAACAGGCAAGGCCTGTGCTATAGTATGGGAGTGGGTGTGTTGACCGGGGTCCAGGTGTTGGGTTTGGTCAGGTAGGTCCAGGTGAGGGAGGTCTTTAGGTTGAGTGGGTGAAACCTCAGATGAGGCTGTGATCCTGTTGGGCTCTGGCCTCCTGTCTGCTGATATGATCTCTCCCTCTCACACACAGTCCCGTCACTGCCACCTGCCCTGAGATCCTCACCAGAGCCAAGCTGATGCCAGCACCAGGCCCTTGAACCTATAAACTGAGAGGCAACAAACCTCTTTTATTTATGAAATTACCTGGCCTTGGAGATTTTGTTATAGTGACAAAAACCTGACTTAAACAGCCCAACTTCAAGCCACGCTTTACTCCAGCTTCCTCCCACTTTCATATTAAATATCTGAAATATATTAATCTTACAAAACAGTATTAACAGTGCTCAATGAATACAGGCTGTGGAGTAAACAATGAGTCCAGATTGTAAAACCATGGGTTATTTAAAAAAAACTGGAGTGTGTGTGCTGCGGACCAGATTCCCCGCGGTCTCCCCCGCGGTCTCCCCAGGGGAGCGCGTGGCATTTCCGACTGCATCAAACTGGGAGGAAAACCCGGGACAGCCCTGTCCTCGGGAGACGCCCGACCCTTGCTCAGTTTGAAGGAGCGCGCGTTCAGGCAGACGCTCAGTCTCTGAGCAGGTTTTCGGGCTTGGGGTAGCCGAAGAGCACAAAGTCGGCCTCGTAGAGTTTGTAGAGCTGCTGCCTCCAGGCCAGGGGGATCTTGGCAAACCAGTCCTCCTCCCAGCTGCTGGCAGTTCTGTTCCGGTAACTCGGGGGGAAGTGGAGCCGCGTGTCCACCTTGAGGAGCCTCAGGAGCTGGGCGGCGTCCTCGTCCAGGGTCTCCAGCTTCCCCACGAAGTCGTAGTCTATCTGGCACGGGTGGCACAGGCGGTACACCTGCCGCCAGTGCTCGTTGAAGGGCGCCAGCTTCTCGGTGTGGGGGTCCAGCAGGTACTGGATGAAGTTGGCGAAGGACACCTTGAGGCCGGCGCTGAAGGCCTCGCTGACCGAGGCGGGCAGGCTGGTGTGGTTGGCGTACAGCCTCAGCATGGGCACCGCGAACTTGCGGTAGAACTCGTCGTTCTCCAGCTCGAACTTGCTGCGGAAGGCCGAGATGAGGCGCACGAAGGGGTCGCGCACGAACAGGAACTTGGTGTACTTCTTCAGCTTGATCTTCATGAGGTGGCGGGAGAACTTGCCGTAGCGGCGCCAGAACTTGTTGAAGGTCAGGTGGGTGCTGGAGTTGTGCACGTGCTCGCGCGGGATGTCCAGCGGGTCGCGGTAGGGCGCGCCGCCGTCCAGCAGGCTCTCGCTCAGCACGATCATCACGCGCTTCCAGTTGGTGCAGGCCACCTTGGGCACGTAGCAGTAGATGATCCCGTGGCGGTCGTCCACGATGAGGTGGTTCAGCTCGTAGTTGGGGATGTCGTCGAAGGAGCGCTCCTTGGTGGGGAAGGCCAGGCTGGAGTTGGCGCAGAAGTCCCGCAGCACACTCCTCCTCTCGGCCTGCTGCTGGCCCTGGTCGGCGCTCTGCTGGGCGTCATGGGGGGACCAGTCGTAGCCCCGCACGCTCTCCTCCATGTGGCTCAACGCTGGCTTGCCAGAGGCCAGCAAGGGCTGCTCCGTCTTTTTCCTGGAAAGGTCATTCTTCTTCGAGCCGGAACTTAGGAGCTTATCCAAAAACTCATCCACATCGGAAGCGAACTCCTTCTCCTCCCGCTGTCCGGGAGTGGGCAGGGATTCCAGGGTGTGCGGCCTGGACAAGGATGTATGCAGGTAGAAGTGGGCGGTGCCCACGTTGTCCCAGTACACGATGATGAGCAGGATCATGAGGACGGAACCCAGCACCAGCCACAGCCGGAAGAGCCGGGGCTTGGTCATGCTGCCCTGGCCAGGGCTGGGCCCCGCAGCTGGACCCCTCACTTCAGCTTCATGGAGACATGGGGCATGGCACTAATGGACGAACCTGGAGAGACCAGAAACACGGAGTTAGAGGCTGAGATCCAGTGAGCCGTTTCTCTCCCACCCAGAAGGCCCAGCCCTCTGCCCTCCATCCTGTCCCACCTCTATCCCACACTCAGATTCCTTTAGGGGCCTCATCAGTCACTCCAACTTCTTTGTGTGACTATGGCCAATGCCACCCACCAGGGCCAAACAATTAAGTGTGACAAGGGAGGAGAGCAGCGACAACTGAAAAAGAGGATGGTCTAAAGAAACCAGTTCAGAAGCTCATCCTTGTGAAGAGAAGGCTTGAGGAAAGGAGAGGAGGGAGGGGGAATCTGAAGTCAGTCACCAGGAGGCTGCAGCTAAGTTGATAAAAATGCTAAAGATGGCCAGGCATGGTGGCACACACCTGTGAGCCCAGCAGCTTGGGAGGCTGAGACAGGGGGATCCTGAGTTTGAAGCCAGCCTCAGCAACTTAGGAGCCCTAAGCAACTCAGTGAGACCCTGTCCCTAAATAAAAAATATAAAAAGAGCTGTCCCTAAATAAAAAATATAAAAAGAGCTGGCTCAGTGGTTAAACACCCCTGGGTTCAATCCCGGGCACCAAAAAAAAAAAAAAAAAAAAAAAAAAAAGGCTAAAGATAACTTCATCTAAAAACAAAAACCAAAAAAACCTGCCAAGCAGACATGGACCAAATAAACCCACCAGAGTCAGGGCCCCACTGGCTGAGTTGGGACATGCAGTGTCTCAAGAAGGCAGGATGACTTCCCTCCTCTTTATCTGTCCCTTGATGTGGAAAGGGCAGAGAATCCACTTCTTTCATGTAGATTCCTGAGTGTGGGATCTCAGGGTCATATGGTAAGCCCAGGTCAGGGGGAGGATCCCTGAGGAAGAAGGGCAGCAGTCCCACAACTGAGGCCAGGAGTATGTCCTCGGTGGACTAACGTCAGAAACATCTTTTGGGTAACAACAGTTCTATGTGAGCCAAAGACGAATGAGAAACTGCACCCACCCCCAGAGTTCATCAGGGCCATCCTGGGACTGATCTTCTAGCCCCACAAAAGCAAGCGCCACATCCCTGACCCCCCCAGTGGGCACCTGTTGGCGGGGCCAAGCAGGGAGCTGATCCTGTCTCCACCCAGGGGAGCAGATGGTGCTCTGCACCCCCAGCACAGTGCCAGTGTGGTCCTGCTGTGGAGCTGGGCCTTGACTCCACTTGGCATCAATAGGGTGGGAGGAGATGATGAGAGGCAGGACAGCTGCACTCTGATTCCTCCTTGAATTGCCACCATGGGGCCTGGTAGGGAGCTGAGCTCCACCCACTCTGACCCCCACCAGCATCAGTGGGCAGAGTGAGAGGGGTGGAGGTGGGGTGGCTGGCACTCGGCTTTCTTTACTCCTCTTCACTGGGGATGGAAAATATTAGTCATGCAACATAAATAAAAAGAAAGCAGGAATGGCTATGTTAGTATCAGATAAAGTAAACTTCAGAAGGAAAAACGTTATTAAAGACAAAGAGAAACATTACACAATGACAGAAAGTTTGACCCACCAGGAAGACACAATAAATGTGTATGCACCAAACAACAGGGCTTCAAAACACACAAAGGAAAACTGACAGAGCTAAGGGATCTATAGACAAATCTACAATTCTAGTGGGAGACTTCAACACTCCACTCTTGCTGATGAGAGAACTACTAGACAGGAAATCCACACGGATATGACACCAGCAACCAGTAGGATCCAACTAACAGTCACAGAATGCTCCACCTGATAGCAACTGATAGCTTCCCCTCGAAGCATCCCAAAACATCATCATGGCAGACGGAACCTGAATGAACTTAAAAGAATTGAAATCATACAGAATCCTTTGGCTGTAAGGAATAAACCTAGAAATCCATAACAGAAAAGATAATTGGAAAATCTCCACACTTGGAAATTAAATGACCCCCTTCTAAATAATCCTCTGGTTGAAGAAGCCTCAAAGGAAATTGTAAAACACACACAGGACTGAATGAAAATGCCAAGGCAACGTGTCGAACTCCATGGGTTACATGTGGAGCAGTGCCAAGAGCAGAAGCAAAGAGGGAGACTGCAGATCAATAACCCAGCTCCACCTCGAGAAGCGGGGAAGGATGAGCAAGATAAACTGGGAGCAAGCGGGAGGAACAGGGGAAAGAGCAGAAATCAGTGAATCTAGAAACAGGTAAACACAGAAAAATCAACAACAACAACAAAAAAATCAAAATTGATAAGCCTCTGGGAAGACTGACCGTGATAGAAACGGTCACCAGGAATAACCAGGAATAAGATGACACGGAGCCTGCAGGTGGAGAGGGTGGCCAGCGTGGACAACTACATGCTCACAACCCAGCAGCTTAGATGAAACGGACTGGTCCTTGAAAACCACAAACTCCCCAAAGAAACAGCCCTATTCTCATGGAAGAAAGTGAATCTGTAATTTAAAAACTCTTGAAAATGCAAGGGACCAGGTCTATTTTGGACTGGCCAAACAACTATGCATAAAAAAATTAAGGAGTTACAACAAAACAAAATATAAACAAATTGGACTTCATAAAATTAAAAACTTTTGTTCAACAAAAGATAATAATACCAATAGGATAAAAAAACACAGAATGGGAAAAATATTTGCAAATGACATATCTGATAAGGGATTAACATCTGAAATATATAAAGAACTCATAAAGCCAACACCCCAATTTTAAAAAGGGCAAAAGACTTAAATAGACATTTCTCTAAAGACAATATACGAATGTCCAATAAGCACACGAAAAGTGCTCAAAATCACTAGTCATCAGGGAAATGCAAATCAAAAGCACAATGAGAGGGCTGGGGATGTGGCTCAAGCGGTAACACACTCGCCTGGCATGCGTGGGGCGCTGGGTTCGATCCTCAGCACCATATAAAATAAAATAAAGATGTTGTGTCCATCGAAAACTGAAAAATAAATATTAAAAAAAAATTCTCTCTTCTCTCTCTTAAAAAAAAAAACCACAATGAGAGCCAGGAGTGGTAGGGTACACCTGTAATCCCTGCAACTCAGGAGGCTGAGGCAGAGGATCGCAAGGTCAAGGCCAGCCTGGGCAACTTAGGAAGGCCCTGTCTCAAAAAACATTTTTATTTTTTATTTATTTATTTTTAAAGGCTAGGGGTGTAGCTCAAAGGTAGAGCATATGCTTAGCATGTTGGAGACCCTGGTACTAGTACTGCAAAACAAAACAAAAACAAATAACAAACACAACGTACCACCTCATACCTATTAGGGTGGCAACTATCAAAAATCTGAAAACAGTAATTACTGGGACGTGGAGACACCGAGCCCACATGCTCTGCTGGTGGGATGCGAGACAGTGCAGTCCCATGGAGGACAGTATGGAGGGTCCTCAAAAAATTAAAACAGCATTAACCCATGACCCAGTCATTCCACTCTTGAGAATATATCCAGAAGAGTTGGAAGCAGGATCTTGAGGGGTTATTTGTACCCTGTGTTCACAGCAACATGATCACAATGGCTAAAGTAACACGGATGCAACCCAAGTGCCCATTCATGGGTAAATGAGTAAGCAAACCGTGGTCTCTGCATACAGTGGAATATTACTCAAGTCTTAAAAAGGAAGGAAATTCTGAAACATGCTACAACATGCATGAACTTTGAACATTATGCCAAGGAAAATAAGAGCTACAAAGAGACACATATCATATGATTCTATTTCTATGAAGTAGTCAGAGCAGACAAACAGGTAGAGACAGAGTCTAGAAGGGTGGTGGCCAGGGGAAGGGGGAGGGGGAGGGAAGGATGTGGAGTTAGTGTTTCATGAAGCATTAGTTTTGCAAGACGAGAAGCTTCTGGAGATGGGTGTTGGATGGCTGTGCAAGGGAATGTGCTCAACTCCACGATAAAAGAAAATTAGGGGGAGAAAAAAAGAAAGACCGGGAGCTATAACAGGGCTCTTGGGTGCTGTTAAAGAAATACAGCAAAACGCAGGCCCGTGTGTTTCTGGCTGTGAGGATGTGAAGGCCACTACACGACTCCAGCGCAGGCTGAAACAGTGCCTGCCGCTGAGGCCACAACTCACCCTTGCTCCCGCGACCTGCCGGAAATCGCCGACTGACTTCCCTGCAGTCAGCTATTAAACAAACGTTTAAAGTTTTAAAAAATGTATAATATAGTGGTGTCCATGAAAACAGGGTAGGGAATGGGTCCTGTCTTGCTCCCTGAGATTCCCTTCAGACAACCAAAGCCCTGTGTGTCCACCACTCAACTCTGTGACTGGTCCAAGGCCCTGTGGCTCTGAGTCCATGTGTCACCAGACTTGCTTGGGCGCGGTCCCTCCCAGGCCTTTCACATCATGGGGACAAGCCTTCAATTCTGGCTGCAGAGGGAGTCATCGATGGGTCTGAGAAGCCACGATTCATTTTTAACATCAAGGGAAGGCCTCGTGTTGTCATTTCTAACCTCAGACAAGCCACATAAACAGCAGTTGTGGCAACAAGCCCGCTGAGGACATGGCAGCTCTCGGGCAGAGTCCTTTGAAGAGGGAACTCGGCTACTTTAAAACTCGTGCAGCGCTGCGGTTCTTAGAACTGCAAGGAGCAAGAGCAAAGGAGGAAAAAAAGGGCTACCAACGAGATCGCCAAGTGTCACTTTTTATTTATCTATTTATTTTGCAGGGCTGGGAATGGAACCCGGGGCCTTGCACACTAGGTCAAGTGCTCTCGTACTTACTGAGCCTCACCCCAGCCCCAAGCAGTTCGGGCATCTGGGAACTTCTGGCCCCAGGGCCACACAGCTCCAGCCTGAAGACCAGGTAGCACTTCATTGCCTGGCGACAGAGAGACATGGCAACCATGTGGGCGCAGGTGGGCTGAGAAGCAAGGTCACGATCCAACTGCCTCAGAAACAGGAACTGCACTGACCTCAGAAAGCACTTTCCATTAAAAAAAAAATAAGGGCACTATTTCCAAAGGCAGATCTCCCAGTATTTCAAAAACACAGTCAA